TTTATCATCTCCTATTTTATTCCCCCATTTCGTGCCTCCCCATATTCTCTTCCTAAACCTCTTCTTTTTCTTCATTAAAAAACACCAAAAGAACTCCCCTTTTGCCCCATAATATTTCGGCCACCCCATTTCCCCCTCACCTCCCCGTAATTCCTTCTCTAAAATAGCAACGTGATAAGACCTCGGGTCTCGGGTATAACATTTGGTATCAGAGCATTGTGTTTCAACATCCCTAAGGGCCAATTACACTTCCATAAACCTTTCCCTTCCCCTTGGTTATTTCGACCAAGACCACTCCAAAAACACCCCTTCAAAAAACCATTCCCCTTATCTCTTTGTTACTGCCATAAAGATCAGCCTCAACACCATCTCTCTTTTCTCTTCCTTCTTTGGTATTTTCGGCCAAAGAGACCCCTAAAAAACCACCCTTACCTTTCCCTTGCCTCTCCCTTAAAACCACACACCAAAGCCCACCTCAACACCACAACCATGTTCCCCTTTTTCTTGCTGCCATCACCAACCCCAGAACACCACACCCTTCTCTCTTAATTCGGACACCATATTTCACCCAAAACCACCCATCATTTCTTACCATTCTAGCTACTGCCCCATTCTCTTCCTCTTATTTCACACCCTTCAAGATGTCAAACACCTCTGCAATCATCACCAATGAAGAGCTGTGGGCCTCGAATACAGAACTCAAGACCCAAGTGGAGTACTTGGCTAAGCAGATTGCTCAACTCACCAAATTCAAAATGAATATGATGAATACCCCTGAAGAAAGTGAAGATGAGCAAGAGGAAGAAGCCCAATCAGAAACTCATCGTTGTCCCACAAGGAGAAACAACCAAGAGAAGTCATCTACTGATTTCAAAGTTGAAATCCCAACTTTTGATGGCAAAGATGACCCCGATGATTTCATAGAGTGGTTAGAGACGATTGAACGTGTCTTTGACTATACCGAGGTATCGGAGGATAAGAAGGTCAAGCTTGTGGCCTTAAAATTCAGAGGCTACGCATCTACGTGGTGGACTAACACTACCACCAAGCCCAAAAGAGAAGGCAAGGCTGCTGTTAAAACATGGACCAAGATGAGAGCTTTATTGAAGAAGAAGTTCATTCCTACTCATTATATAAGGGATAACTTTGCTAGGCTTCAAAACCTACGGCAAGGAAATCAGTCCGTAGAAGAGTACAACCGAGAGTTTGAAGAACTCTTGATGCGATGTGATCTTCAAGAGAATGACTCACAAACCTTTGTGAGATATTTATTTGGTTTAAACACCCAAATAGCCAACACCGTGGAGCTGCAAAATTTTGAAAGCCTTGAAGATTTAACAAAGCTAGCCCTAAAAGTGGAAGCTCAACTCAAGAAAGGCAAGTCCCCCTTGAACCGTCCCCTTCCACCACATCAAGGCCAACCAAATTACACCCCCATTGCTGCCCAAAACCCCACGGCCCCCTCCCCTAAAAATCCCAAAACCA